GGAATTAGCGGTTAGCAAAACGCCTCTCTCTCTCTCTCGCCTCTCGCTCACCTACGAAGAACATGATGCCGATATTGACGGAGCTAATCCATGCTGTCATGAAGCGTCCCTCGCCGAAATACTGAAGCCACGGAACGTAGTAGGCGTTGAGCACGATAGAGAACCCGACACCAACGATCTGATTTATCACAGCAGCAAACAGCACCAGCCAAGCCCAGCCTCGGTCTGTCTGTAAACAGCGAGTCGCCATGACGATCGATTCAGCTCCCAGTGTGCATGCGTATCAGCAAATGGGGCACCGCAAACGCTCACCAGGTGGACAGGACACAGTACAAACCCGACGAGCTGCGTCGGCTGAGCGACGCTCTTTACATGCTGCTGATTTCATATCTTCTAACACGGGTGGGTTGAGAGCTAGGAGCTGGCACTGTTGCGTGAGCCTCCAGGACCCGGTTTCACAGACGTGGATTAACTTTTAACTCCGAGTTAGGCATATTTAACTCAGAGATAAAGTTAATCCACGACTGTGGAACGGAATTTAATTCTGAGTTAACTTTTAACTCAAAGTTAAGAGTTAATCCACGACTGTGGAACCGAGTCCTGGCTTTGCCCATGCGTGCATGATTCGCGAGGCATCGATGTATCTTCCATGACATGCAGAACTACATTTTACTATAATATACCACAGCGTGTCTTTACGCCAGTGTCACATGGCGAAATACACAGTGTGCGCAGTTCCTCAAAATCACGTGCTATTCGATTAGTAGATTAACGGCAGCCACGGTACTATTCATTCCATGACGCTAGGTAATAGCAGTGTCCCCGTATAAGCATTACACTCCCACATCAGTCAATCGGCGTTGAGCTGGGTAAAATAATTAGATTTTTGGCGGATGTGTATACAAATCTCTCCTAGGAGAGGCTAAACGGGATTTATCGTCATTATCGGAAACTAGACTTCTGGCTCTATTAGCTGGGCTGATTGACTCCTTTCATGTGCATTCGTGTGGCGGAAATAGGCGAAGCGCGAATAAGCGAAAATAATCATAGAGGAATATTTGAATTAACAAAATATATGTTGTGCCTTGCAATGTAGCGTCGGCCGGTAGCATTGCAAATTCTCAAAGTAACTCCAGTTGTTTCATGGGAATCTTTAGCTAAGTATGGTCGCCAATGTCAAATGATTTCCCATTGTGAATACCTATAGGTAAACGTGTATTTGGCCATAATACGCGCGCGAGTGCGGGCGTGCGTGTGCGCGTGCGTGCGCATGTGTATGCGTGTGCGAAATCAAGCTAGTTACGTTTACCACTCGTCCCGACAGCTCATCCCTGTCGCTCTGCATCTGTCATACTCTAGTTGATTTTCGGTTATATGAACCTATTTGGTATTACAGTCATTATATGAATTGACCGGCCGCTGCCCGCACCGCTACCGAATAACAGCGCGGTAGATCGGAGGTGCGGGACTTGCGCACAAAACCATTTGGTTATATTAGACAGATATAGAGAAGATTCTGTCCTAGATGAACATACGGTCCGGTGCGATTGTCCGGCGGGACATGTTGCGGAGATTCAGTGTGTATCCACGTTGTGTTCGTATAGGCCTGCCTGTCACAGCACGCAGCTAAATGCTATGCGTGGGGTCAAAATGTGAATTTTTGACAGAATGATGCAGTTGTTGATGCGTACCATCAGAGGAAAGCAAAGGGTTTGCGTCAGCGCGAACTAACGCAGTATCGCAGACAATCACGCACTTTATATGCAATATAGCCACGCAGCGGAAACGTAGAGAAGGTGAATCCGGCTGCTCGTGCGGGGATGGCGGAGACGCTGTGTTTGTTACGGCTGATGTGTGCGCTGTTTACTTCCTGCTTATACATACTACTTGACCACAGATATACGGCACTCTGGCGTATTCGTCTGAGGTGCTTCGTGCGCGTTTTAGCGTGGCCTGAGAGTATAGGTCACGGCCATGTATGGGCGCAGGTGGGCGGCGATGACAACGCACATGCGGTCTAGTGAACCGCATAACTTATTAGGACCCGTCTTTCTCACAGTCCGTCTATTGATACGTACCTGAAGGTTTCAGTATTTTATAATAACTTTTTTTAATAATTGGAATAGGTACGACATGTACGATGAGGTACTATCTCAGCTTCAGATCCAAAGACTTCCGTTTCGTTGCGAGCAGTTTTGTGAAAATGTTGCTTATCAGTTCAAAAGTTGTAAACGATTACAGGATATTTGCCCTCCTTCAGCAAAAAATGTGTCTAACCGCATAACACGGAATTCTAGTAAACTCCGGCTTGCAAAGTCCCTCGTACCAGCCGGTACTTCAATAGCCCTGTTCCGTACATGTGCGGGATGATTAACAAAATTAAGTGTAAACAGGCACTGAATTTTTTACAATAGCATGGATAATTAGTCTTTTGCTTGCGCCCCTTTATAAACATTTTGGTCTCTTTGAAATAACTCTCTGAGCAACTTTCGGTTATGTGATATGTTTGATTCTATCATTGTGTCGCATTTTAATTGTAACTATTTTTTGACCAAGAATCACGTTATTTTAAATTTAGTATATATTCTAAAGATGGTTTTTAGTTGTAGTAATATAATTTTACGAACCAACATTTTAAGTGATATCTATGTCTTACCATGGGACATATATTATTGTAAATATCATCAATTTCAGTTTTATACTGCCTGATGATATCTTGTTTGCAAAATTTATTTTAATTGTAACGTTGTTAACACTAGTTTTGCAATAAACCTATTATCTATCTATCTCTATCTTTTTACTATATGGATGAGGTGTCTGAAGAAGTGTAAATATAACTAGGTTGATTTATCTCAGGGACACGTACACGATACACACGCGCGCGGCGCGCACACACACACGACACACAGCACGACGTAACACAGGCCGCAACACACACGAAAACGCGTCAAGACGCGTAGCGCGCGCGACGACACACAGCGAGCACACACCACGACAGTGACACACCGGCGCGCGCCACCACACACACGACACACACACGACAGTGACACACACTGCGCGCCATCGCGCACATCGATGACAGGCAGGACACGGACACACACACGACAGTGACACACACGCGCGCGCGCGCACACACAGACACACAACGCCAGCAACACACGCGCAACAAGACAGTGACATCACACACAGCCAAAGCACGATATACATAACACACAATGTACGTCACGTACGCACGCACGCACGGCAGAGCCATCACACACACACGCCACAGCGACGACACACACACACACACATACACATGCGCGCCGCGGCACGCACAGCATACACACACGCATCACACACCACACACCACACGACACACACACATACACACACACACGAGGGCGGGTGTCATTTTCATTCAGCAGGCACACCGGAGCCATGGCTCCAGCCCGCACAGGCGTAACGTGCGGCAGCGGATACAACACACACACACACACACACGGCACACACGCACGCAGCGCACGCACGGGCACGGAACGCACGCACGTACACACACACACGCACGCATACACACATACAAAACACATGTACGCACGCAGCACGCCGCACGCACGCACGCACGCACGGCACGCACGCGACGCACAGCACGCGCGGAGCACGCAGCGGCACACACACACACACACACATATATCAAGAGCTAATAAGCACTATAATAATAATAATAATTTATTAGCTATATATAATATATATATATATATATACTAATATATATATATTTATATAGTATATATAAAAATATATATAATAATATATATTATATATAATATATATATATTATATATAATATATATATATATATATTATAATACTATATTTATATATAGAGTTTTTTGATCACGTCGACATCGGTCGCTGGCCGCCGTAATTCGTTTGCCAACCCCGCGAGCTCGCCTCTCTTCTTTTTTAGAACGGGAGGGAGGTCTGCGCACGCTAATTTCGTTCCTTTTAAATTCGGTCCGGCTCTCATGAACGTTTCTCTTTCGCCCCAGAAGAGAAATACAACAACAATAGTCGCTGGAGCATATATATATATATATATATATATAACGCGCGCGCATACGCACGTGAGCATGCACAAGCTAGTGCGCACCACTAAACTATAACAATATATTTATATATAAATTTGTAGTTCAGTCGTGCGCACGTGCCTGGCACGTATCTACCTATACAATTTACCAACACGCACAAGCGCGCTACCGTTTGGTAGGGTAGCGGAATGAGTTGAAGAGGATTGGGGGAAACCCACGTATAGACTTCCCCTGCTCCTGACCTACTAAACTAAAACGATGTGATTTTGACGAGTTGGATTCTCTTCTTTTTTCTTTCTTTTTTTAATTCCAGATTTGACACAAGTACATACATTTACACATATAGCTGATCAAATATGTAGACACATACAGGATTTGAACACTAATAAGAATATTCAAAAGCATATTTTAGATCATATTAAAAAAATTGCATTTATTGGTGCATTTATAATTATATAGCGAGTGAATTGCTGGTGTAATGGATGGACCAGCACCAATAAAAGTGACTTTAGTTTTGATTTGGTTTATCCATTTAACTGGTATTGCTTTATGTACTCTAAATACATCTAAGAATGTTGCTTAAATATTAAACTTTAATTTGAGTTGTTCAAGTGACATTAGGTCACCATTTTCATCTAATAATTTTTTTTATATATATTATATTATTTTTATGCCATGCCGTTATGTAGTCTAATTTGATATGTTTATTGAACCAGATTGGCTCATCGAGTATGCCTTCGGTATTTTTGAGGGTAATAATTCTGTTGTATTTCTGACCAGGCTATGCAACATTCTTTCCAAAATGGGTTTTTAATTAAATGTATTTTATTTAATTGGTCTGCACCGGGTCTAAAAAAAAAGCGTCTGGCATTATGTTTTGAAAAATATTGTCCATTTATCGGATTTTGTTAAAAACGTCTAATCCAGGAAATTTTAAGACCTTTAATATAGCTCCATAAATCTATCATCCTCAAGCCTCCCTCACTATATTTCTTTTTTGATATTTTTTTTTCACTTTTTCCTTAGGTTTATTCAAGATGAATTGATAGAATACATTTTCAATTTCTTTTAATGTGGGTCTGGTAATATTGTCAGCAAATGAGTTTATAATTGGAAGTGCTAGAGATTTTAATAACTGTAATTTTTCCAATGGTGTCAGGTTTCTAGCTTTCCCAGGTAT